TACCCAACATTATCATATCATCTTTACATGAATTAAATATTGCAACTCCATCCAACAAAAGCAAACCAGATATCTACAATCCTCCTTTACTTCCCGAAGCAAAAGAGGTCCACCAAAAAATACATTAAATAAAGTGTATCCATCCCTTGACATGTTAATTGGGATTGATACCAATAATTCTGTTTTTGGTGAGGAGACTGAAACTACTGATCTCTGTATTTGAAGCTCTGCGCCTCTATATATTCATGAATGGCTTTCCTCCAAAATTGTCCAACTTGGATCCTTCCCCTGAAAGGAACATTCTCATTTACTCACCTGTCATGGACATTTTCATAGATAGTTTCCTGGTTAATGGCTTTCTCATCACTGGGAAACGTTATGTTCACAAATCCAAGGACACATTTTATATATTCTCCAATAATGACTTCTCTTGTTTAAAGTCGTGAACCTCATGAAAAAGAAACACTTCACATTATAGAGAAATATGATGTAGAAACAAGCCCTGGCCCTTTTAAATGCAACTTTACAATTGTATTTAATTGTGATTTCTTTCTTTCTTATGTCTCTTTATTCATCTACACCTCTCCTTTATCTGTTATACTGTATGTTGTTTAAGTGCCATATCGTTTGTGTATTTAAAAGAAAGAGCTACATAGCGAGCTAACGTTAGCTTAAAGTCACGTTAATTAATTCAGATTGAATTTCTCCAGAGCATTTTCCAGGAGGAGTCGATGTGAAGGAGCAGATCCAGTTCCTGGTAACTCACCTCAAAGGTGTCCGCTCCTGTGGAGTGACGCTGACACGCACGGAGAGTTACGTCAAGCTGCTGCTGAAGCTAACTTGCTAAAGAGCTGAGAACGCTGAATATCTAGCTCACCGTAAACTGTGCCCTGCTCTCACACAGCCTCTCACTACTCAGTCCACTTTCGCGTCTTCACGTTCGAGTAGACACGTCGATATTGAACGCTTTACGGTTATTTTATTGTAACATTGAGCCGACAGCCCGCTCCACTCCCACAGCGTCTGTGTCAACCTGCCGTCACCATGACGACCGAACTCCCGCAGCTCTCGCGATAGCCGCGCAGGAGGCGAGTTTACCGGAAACAGTCAGTTTGTTTTGTCGGGATCATTTCCTCCAGGATTTGTTGACTAATCTTCAACTTTGAATAAAAATTTTTTGAAAAAAAGTTATTTTAATATCTGCCTTTTGTTTGTTCAGGGGAATAAACATCTGATTCAAAGACATGGAGTCCCCTGTTGCCTCAGTAATCACGGGCAGCGGGAATTTCCTTCTAATTAAAATCCTCACAGCATCAAGATAAATTTTAAAGCTCTGATTAGAGCTTTGAACCCTCCGTATTTTTTTTCTTCTTCTTCCAACAGGCTGCTGAGTTGTCTTTAGTTATCCAAGATGATGTTGTTTAGATCTTTCATGTCGACAAACATCGCAGATCAAGAGCAAAATAATTTCCCATTAGTCCCACAAGATACATTTTTGCAGGGATGAACTTGATGAGAGAGATGTAGTGTGTGTGTGTGTGTGTGTGTGTNTGTGTGTGTGTGTGTGTGTGTGTGTGTGAGTACAGGGAAACATCCCTGTAACAACACAATGTATTTGTGTCATGGCCCACGCTCCAGTCTGCCAGTGTTTTTTCCCCCTCCTCCCTTGTGTATCCTGTCTCGCCCGTCGGTCTCTGTGTTAGTGTGCATGGTGTGTGTGTTTGCGCTGAGGGTGCTTCTCACTGTCTCCGATCCTTGTTGTATGATTATCTGCACGTGCACCGATGATCGGCTCAGTCCAGCTGCACATAAACCTCATTCACAGTTTGGTACCAAGCACGCAAACCTTCAAATATCCTTGTGTTTTTGCTTGAGGTGACATTTTACTCCCTGTGCTTCAGGTCAGGATCACCTCCTGCCTACCTGTCCCCCTGCCGCCTTCATCCCTCGGCTCATCATCCCTGTCCACCTCCGCCAGCCTCCAGGCTCCAGGCTCCCTCAGTCCTTTGCTCCCCCTGTCATGCAGCTCCTTCACCCCCCCCCCATTCAGCTCAGCTCTGCCATCCCCTCCCCCTTTGCCTTGTGTTGTGATTAGTAATGCATATGAGTTATGCATTTGGGTTCATACGCAACACCTAATGATCAGTAATCACCAAAATGAAAGACAGTTGTAACATAATTATCAAATCTAAAAGAATTATAATAATTTGACCATTTTGCTACACAGTAATGTTTTTGTTAAACATTATAAAACAGTGTTATGCATCATCTAAATAAAGCCAAACTTGCAAAATGTGACTGTGTGAGAAATATATATTCTTGTAATTTAAATTGTCCAACTGAAGGAATTAATGAGAAATGATTTCCTTGATCAAGCCAGCAATGCATTTCTATTAGAGCTCTGACTATCAAGTACATTATTCCCAGGTTCAGTCTTATTTCACATGACATTTTATTTATCTTATAATAGCCTCAACTGGGGTCTGGACATTCTTCTGTCTTCTGGGTTTCGTCGCCCAGCACCTTATCTTATATAAGTTTGGATGTGCAGACTTTTATATGCCCCCCCCCCTCAAAAGGATAAGGAGTATAGATTAACAATGAGTGGAGGGATTATGCAATGTCTCTGTGGTGCTATGAATACATAAGAGCCTAAAAAGGCAACTATATAAGCCAGTGTGTGTGTGTGTGTGTGTGTGTCCACGTCTGCCTGATCCATAAGAAACTTTATGCCTTAAGTACAAAAGCGCTCTTCTTCTGCAGGCCATGCCCCTGAAGCTCCTACTTTTTTTTATGCGTCTCTATGGTTCCTACCAAACCACAGGACAATTATGGCTCAGCAAGCTCTGAGCACACCTCCGCCTCATTCCTAAATCTATCGCTCTCGTGCTCTCTCTCTCCTTTTGTCTCCCTCTCTCTGTGTCTCTCTTCCTACATTGTTGGCATATGACCTATTGCTCCTGCCATCAGGGAAGTGAGGGTGTATGACTTATTGAGCGTGCATGCGTGTGTGCGAGCGCGGATGGTCATTTTGGGTCGTGACCCTCCAGCTGGATCCTGTCTCCGCTGCTAAACAGTGACTCCCTCCCTCCCTCTCTCTCCCTCTCAACTCTGCCTGCATAGACAGCAGGGCGTGCAGCGGCATACCGATGAGCGCACGAGTCAGAAGAAGACAGAGAAGGAGTAAGAGAGGGAGCAAGGGATGGAGGAAAAAAAAATGGAGGTACGAGGAGGGGGGGACTTAGCAGGAGGCCAGGAGACTCGCAGATAAGCAAAGCAAAGGATGGAGAACAAGAGGATTGACAGAATGCATGAAAGGAGGGGTACAACAGCAGTGCAGTTGCAGGAAAAGGACAAGCGTTGTGCTGTGAAATGTCAGGGCTATTTAATTAATTAGGAGGCAATGATTATGGCACTGCACTGAATGTCATCGGCCGGGTTAAACCTTCCTCGGTGGCTTCACACTGGATATATATTGACTGTTTGGCGATGGTTGGAAACCTTTTAGAAATGAGAGAGTGGTGGCAACAGGCGGAAAGAGAAATAAGTCAGTCGGCCAGAATCAAAACCTTTTTTTTGCAACTGCTGATATTCATAGGGGAGTGTTGTTTTGTAGTAATCCTAGGAGTATATTAACGGCAAAATGGAGTACCTGTTAAACAACTTTGAAAAGGCTAGTTGGGAGCTTTCATCCAGCCGTCTCCAACATCCTACTTATTCCTATTCAGAGTCACAGGGGGCTGGAGACTAACCCTGCATGCTCAAATGGCAGAAAGGCAGCTCACCTGTCCATTATAAGATTAACACCAGGCAATTGCATTGATACGGACAATTATAATCTCCTAGTTCACCTGATCTGCATGGCTTTTGACTGTTAGGGGGGAACCAGAGCAAGCGAGGAAGGAACATCAATGGGCAAACAGCTGCCCCGTGATCCACGACCTTTCTTCACTGTAAAGGAGCAGAATTAACCCCTGAGCTCCTGTGTGTCGCTCCCCCAATGGAAATATACAGAAGATTTTGAAGAAAATGATAAATATGAAAGTTGTCCCACCTTCACATGTGTAGCAGGAAAGAGACAGAAATATATTACATGTCACATGCAGCCCTGAGAAGAGACTAACCAGTTAAAATTAGTGATCCAGGAATGTGCAGGTAAACCGTCTAGGACCTACATTTTTGTTGGTACTCAGTCCCCTCGTGTTGGAAGGATGTGATGCTCTACTTCAAAAATAGGTTGTGTTTAGCTGTGAAATGAAGCTATGAAATGATAAATGAGTTACCCTGAGGTCCTTTGTTGCCAATTTCAGGTTCTAATTTATTTTCAATATGAAATGTATTCAATATACAGTTCAAACTGAATTACAATCACAATTGCAATGTTTCAGTTTGAAAATATACACCAGTGTTCGACATGATTAAGCCAATTAAAATATGGGCAAAAACATTTGTTTTCTGATGAATCAAATAAAGTTGCTGCCATCACAGGGCCCCTTCATGAAAAACCAAGATACTGCTAATGTTGAAAGATTGCAACCATGTGAAACATCCAACTCCTCTGAAAATAATGAGATTTCTTTTTCGTTGAGGTTCTGATCACTAAAACCCTCTCAGGCCATGACTGTCATGAGAGGTACTCGGTACATGCCAGTCTGAGAGATGTGAGCCAGATGATGAGGAGGTCGACAGGCAAGAGCAGAGAATAAAGATCAGTGCAACTGCAGGCCGCAGTCTGATGAGAACATGGACAAGAAATTGTCCTTGACATCATGAAGACTGTCCAGTACATTTTCACTCTTAATGACTCTCCTCTGACTTCCTGCTGACACAGGGTATGATGGGATTATCCGCTGTGTATATGGCCATATACTGTATGTGTCTGTTGTGTGCATGTGGACTTTATTTTGTGTGTGTTTTATACTTCAGTGAAGAAGAACAGATGAAACACACTGAAGTAAATAAAATGAACAAATAAAGAAAAATGAGATGAGAGGGGAATATGAAGAAAAAGATGGATGCTGACTTTGAGAAAAAGGACATTTATAAAATGTATGGCGTTAGCTGTTGACTACATATTGTACTTTATATATCTAGAAGACATAAAAAGGACTGATGTTGGATTGAAGAGTGGCAGGACTAAAAAAGGAATAAAACACAAACAATGCACAATCCAGTGATTATGGAGTCAGCAGCAGAGATGGAAAGAAAATAGAGTTAGATTATTTGAAGGGTGAGGAGGTGACTGTATGGATTGAAAGTAAGACAAGAAATTAGAGAGACAGAACATAAGAAGAGAGAGGGGAGCAAGCGATAAACCACGAGTAAAAGAGAGAAGGAATATTCAGGGTCCAGGAACTCATGGCCGGCCATCACTAGTTGTCAGTGAGGTCAAGAGAGCTGTGGTGGGTGAGGAAGAAGGGGGAGAGAGAGATAGAGCAGAGGGCTGCACACAAAGGCAAGTGAGAAATTGAGAGGTTATGGAGGGAGCGATAGATGGATGAGAGTGAGAGATGAAGGTGGAGGCGGAAGAGGAGCAGTGAGGACTGCACTTGAGTGGCTCTAGATCATGAGCATTAGCTCAAGCTGATAGCTCCGTGTTACACCCCCTGACATTCACACACACAGGCCCGGACCCACACACACACACACACACACACACACACAGCTGCACGGAGACAAAGTACCTACAGTACATCGAGATCACGCACATCAGTCATAGCTCAGATAAGCATCTGACAGTTAGTGAGGCTTAAGTCTGGTTTATGGCAGCTGGTGATGCAGTGATTCTACAGATGAGTCTGATGTTCACCTGATACGGTGTGAGACACATGTGGAGCCCCAGGGCGGACAGAAAGAAAGAAAGAAAGAAACTAAGTTGTGTTAGAACAACCAACCGACCAACAAAAAATTGCACCTTAGGGTAAAGGAAAACATCGTGGACACGGACAAAACCCACATGCAATTGTAGTTGTGCCTTGGCAGAAGAGTGGCATAAATCTCGTAAAAATAACTGTACACACCTCAATACACTTA